GCAAATGAGAGCCCCTCCCGACGCGTCGGGGAGGCTTCCTTCTGTACACACATAAGGGATTCTTAACATGCTGCCACTTCTCAAGTACTGTTGTTTGTTGTTCGCTGTCCTCAAGCCTTCAACTCATGGCAACCTTGTGTATGATACATCTCTAAACCCTACCATCCTCATGGTCTCTTGATTGAGTCCATCCATGTAGTATGTGGTCTTCCTCTTTTTCTACCACCCTCCACTTTTCCTAATAGTTCAAATTATATATTGCTATAAAAACTTGGAAAATAGCAATTCCATTATCTGGAACAGCAAGGTGAAATCCAGTTCTTTCCCCCCCCCCCTTCCTCCCAACCTTTTGAGGGTAGCAGATTCATGTCTATGAAGACTTTTCAGACACTAGCAGGCCATAGGCACATCATTTTGCCCCAAAATTATCCACAGAGTTGATTTTCAGGCTGCGAGTGGTTCTTAAGACTCACCTCAGGCTTGACTGGTAACAGGTGGCGAGTTGAAATAAGCTGCTGTTCTATGCTTCCCTATAATTTCTGGATGATACTTTCTCTATCTTTTTTATTATTATTGTATATATTATTTATCTAGCTGTTTGGCTTAGTCTGCTGAGGGGAATATTCATTGCAAGATGAATTTTCACAGCTGTTTTTAAAACTGTCTGCTCGGAGGTGAAAAACATGAGGGATTTGCACAACCTGGCTGCCATTGTAGAATTGTTTTTGTGTTCACTTCTTCAGCAAGAAGATCCTCAGGCAGCAGAATCACTGGATCATCAATGCCTTTGCCTGAAGACTCTTGGCACCCTTAGTAATGCTGAGAGCCCTGTTGGGGAAGCAAGTGAGCAGAAATCTCTGGCTGCATCTGCACAGAAAAACTAATGCAGTTTGACACTACTTTCACTGACATGACTCAGTACTATGGACTGCTAGGATTTCTAGTTTGTTGTGGCACCAGAGCCAAATAAAACTACAAATCCCGGGTTTCCATAGCATTGAGCCATGGCAATTAAATTGGTATACAACTGCATTAATTCTGCACTGCAGATGCAGCCTCAGTCATTCTACTTGCTGAGGGGGTTGCCTATTGGGATGTACATTCTCCTGTGAAACTGTTGGTCAACTGAAGTAGCATTATGGCTGTGTTTCATTTATTTTCTCATTTCTTTGTGACATTATACTGACATGATGGTTGAAAACTAGGACAGGTGTGGCCAAGCAAAATTAGAGTGTGGTCAAGAGCGTAAAGTTATTAGTGGGAAAGAACACGCAAACTAGAGGAGGCTGCAGCAGTTTGCTTTTGCCTGGAGCTACAGGAAAGGGTAAAATTCTGCTCCTTCCTCTCTTCTCCCCCCAGCTGAGTTGACTGAGTCAAAACCAAATTGGCAATTTGAAATCAGTTTGTAGCAAGTGAAGTAAACCAGAGACAAAGGAGGAAAGTGGGAGGAGGGGAGACATTTTAATCCATTTTAAAAAGTGGGGTGTCAGAGGGTTAAAGGGGACTGTCCTTCCCAAACTGGAACAAGCATGATACTGAAGGAGACACAGATGATTCCTACTAAGTGTGAGGATGAAGACGAAGAAGAGGATAATTTTTTCCACCAGTCAAAATGCAGGTAAAAAGCAGGAGACCCACTTTCCTTCTTTGTGGTCACTGCTAAAAGGCATGAATCCCAAAGTTATTTTTCACAGGGAAAGGTTAGGCTGCAAACCTATGCACGGCATAAGAATAAGAAACACAGGATGCAGTTGTATTCTGTGAGCAGGTATGTTGGGAAAATCCATCTTTGGGTATTCCGCTGTGAATTGACCTGATCAACACCTCCCAGACTAATGACAGATTAATCCAATATACTTCTTGGCTCAAGTACACCATCACAATACATTTAAACATTTGCACTATGGGGAAAAATATGTTTTGAAATGAGGATAGATTTTTTTGCAGAGTTTTTTTTTTGAAAAAAAATCCTGATTGATTTAGAAGGGAGGGCAGAATAGATGTACAGGTGAATAGGTGTGGAAAGGAAGATGGATTGGGAATAAACTGATTCACTGCCTCATGGGTTGCCAGGAGGGGAGGGTGTCTCAAAAATGCCAGGGTTTTCTGTCTTGTGACAAAATAAACTTTGTCAGCTATGAATACTATATACTTTGACTTGGTATATAGCATGGTATATAGCATATATACCTTGTATATGTAGTATATAGTACAGT